ACTAGTTAGTACTGCTTCTGCCTGTTCTACAGCATAATAATGTTACTTGCTGGCTGAAGTGCACACTTTTATTTTTTATTTGTAAGGTTGCATTTTTAGAGAGGTTGATGTTAGTTTTCTTTCTTAATTTTGGTTCCACTCTGATGGCTGCTAACTTGCATAAAAAATGTTGTGATGGCTATCAATTTATTTCTTTGTGATTTACAACGTTCTGACCTTGCATATTTTTTATCACGATGAACTAATTAACAGGTTACACAGCAGAGTTTTTATGACTGTATTCAAAGCATCATCGTTCCTATTTTTTGGTACCCCTTTATATAGGCTTGTCGCAATAAAACAATAAATCAATTAATTGCATTATAAATTAAAAGTATCTACCTCATTTTCAATTATCGGCTTTATCGTTTCCTCGTCTCTCTCTCTCTCTGAAGACACTGGATGACTAAAAGCTCAACTCCGGTGCTCTTCACTGACCCCTCCCTTTCTCATTAAAATCCATTTTAACCGTTCAAAATCGTGTTTTTGGATCGTTAAATGCAGCTAATCTGAGAAGCGAAGCTACGAGCTAAGCTAACAGGCCGACCTCGGGGAAAAAAAACTCCATCTTGTCGAAGCTCCAAAATTCACGGTTGAAACCCATGCCTTTGTGTAAAAAGTTGTTTTTCTCTGGAAAAAGAAGCTGAGAACTTGTTTAATGATTTTTTAAATGAAAATCTTTGTGTGAAAAATGCTATGCTAAAAAGCTCAAATCACACAGAGCGTCTGCCATTTTGAGAACTTAAAAAAAGGAACAAGAGACAGCCCAAGTCACGTCAAGGGGCCTCCCTCTCATTTTTCTTAAAGAGACAGGCTGCTTGCTCCCTCACTATCCATCCTTCGGTTCAAACAGTCTTATTCTGCCACCCGGAGGTCAAAAAAGGTACTACACTCTAAACAAATTAACCAACATTTCTTCTTTAATAGTAATAATTACTAATTATTGTCAAATTTCAAACAATTTTATAGTTTACCGCAATAATTTCTGAGACAATTAATCGCCAAGCAAAATTTGTTATTGTGACAGGCCTACCTTGATACCACATTTTAAATCCAGACAAGAAGGCCGTGAGATTGAACTGAAGCATTTTCAGGAGTTGATTTGCTTGTTTGTCAAGAAGTGACAAATCTGAAAAATCCCTTTGTTTATCCAGTTAAAACTTTTTATTCTCGGGCATAGACAAGCCTAAACAAACAGATGGTGACCCCAAATGTACTGTAGGAGCTAAATGTTGGTCTGAATCTGCAGCACACCAGACAGGCAGTGTATGTCAGTGGCTTGAGTGGGCTTTACATATAGAAAAGAGCAGCAGGAACTTGCTCTAAGACAAATGCAGAGGTGTTATAAAACCGTTGCTTATGTGAAAGCAATGCTGCAGGTACAGTTCTTCTGATAAGGATGGTGACAACAAAGAATAATTTTCTCCATAGAGATAATAATTTTATCTGGAACAGAGCTTAATATATTTTTTAAAGCTTTTAGTGTTCATGCAGTCTTGACTTGTTCTATTTTATTAGGATTAAAACATATAGAATAGGAAAGGGGAAAAAGTCAAGTAGCATTATACTAAAATGTATTTCTTCAGGATTTTTTTATGGCCTACTTTTTAAATCAGATTGATAATTCTTCAACTTGTTCATTATAAAGTAAAATCAATGTGATGCAAGTATCAAATCTTTAAATTAGATATAGGTAAGACACTTGAACAGTCATATTTGATGCCAACAAGTCGAGAGGAGGCTATACGTAGATGAACTGAAGGTAATTTAAGTCTAGAACTCCAAGACAACGTAAGATAGGTGTTTGAATAGAAAGCACTTGGATCCCTCTCCTTGGTTCTCGGAGGCATTTTACTTCTCATCTGAACAGCGTCTTCAGTGTTGCCTGGTGGCGACTTTCAGGCATTTACGCTGAAGGAGTTATTTACACCTTGAGGTCTGTTGAGGTCTCTTGTGCCACTCATCTGTCTGACCATATTATGGGCTGTTATCACCCGTGGGCTGTTTACCTAACCAGCCAACATGTGAAATGTTTTGAAACAGGATTCAATGCATGATTGACTGTGAAACTGCTTGGGGAGTTGATGCTCCATTGTGTGTTATAGGTAACGGATAAAGAAAGCCAAAACCTGTATTTATCGCCTGCCTGATGTTAGAAATAATGCTTTTGGCTTTGTCTGTGCAGGATCACCTGAGGGAGTATCGGTAGCCGTGGCACCCTATGGAAATTGAAGCCATTTGACAAGTTGTTATTGAACACATGACACATGAACAGTCACTAATAAATAATGTGGAGCAAAATTATTATTATTTTTTTAAATGCATTGCATTAAATGGTTGTGCACTATCCGCAGGGTGTCCAAACCAGTCAGTGACCAAACAGGGAGCCAAATGTACCAGAATATTGTGTTCAGCAGAATGGCGTTCTTTCTTGACCTGGTTTGCTGGGTCGATGTGAAATTGAGACTTGGTGTTGAAGCGACAGACTTTTCAGAAGTGTTTTGATTTGTTACCTGCAGTGGCAGACTACAAGATTAAAGCAAAGATCTTGTAGCTTAAAAAAAAACAGGTATCAGCACTAAGCTCTATGTGGGCACAACTAAGCAGGTCAGGAAAGTCTGTGGGAGAGTTGTGAGGATTGTTTTATCAAAGAACACCTCGCAACTGTCGGCAGCTGCTGGAGGGAACATTGTTGTTTCAGTTGCGGATGACCCCAGACAAACTTTGCTGTGCTTTGGGACACCACTAATGAGGATCAGAAAGTGCTGCTTTTTTCATCAAAATTCTGAGATTCTTTAAATACTCTCTTAGAAGACAGATGATAAACTCACAACCAGAATTCTGTTCAGTTAATGGCACAAGATGACGATTAGATGACATTAGAAAACTGGATGTTTGCCAACTTTTGCTTAAAATTTTGCCCATTGCTTAACTAGAGATGGTATAATAAGCCCTTCTTATTGCAGTTTGTCAGAATTTTCATAAAATTGTCAGTTTATGGTCTCAAGTCTGAAAACATCAGTGAAATAAAATCTAGTCTGAAGAGATTAGAAATGTCTCTGGTTTAGCACCATTACTTTTCAGCCTTAGCACAATATACTGGTCCGTTTTTAACTTATGCCTCCTAAGAAACATAAAGACTGCAACTTTGTTCTCAACTGTTGTTTGCTTCCTCAGCAGCCATGTCCATGTGGGCTGCTCCTGTTAGATTTGGCTCAAGGCATCAGTTTTGTTCCCATCAGCCCCATGCGGGCCTGCTTGCAGTGTTGGTGTGAAATGGCAGCAGAACCAGAATGAACAGTTGTATTCAAGCTTGGCAGTTTTTTTTTCCCCACTCATTTTTAAGTATTTACACTAATTGGAACAAGTTGGACTTTATTTGAAGACAAACACAATGCATGAAGTGATATTATCAGTCCATATTAATTACAACAAACATTGGCAAGATGGTGCATAGTAAAACTTGTTGGTGTTGTTCTGTTAGGTTGTTGGCTCCAACGTATAGTGAATCACAATTTGTTACAATAGATGACTTATTTTTCTTACTGAAAATGGACACCAGCTTGAAAGCTTAGAACTTGAACCTACTCCATTCCCATATGTGTGTCATATGCCAGACAAGTGAACAGGTGCTCAAGAAACACTGATTGTGCATGAAAACAGTGGCTAACTTCAAACCACTAGCAAAAAAGCTTGGAATGCAAACTCAGGGAAAAAAAACAATAGTTTGGATATATTCATCCATCTATCCATCCATTCGTTATCTTTACCCGCTTATTTCTTTTTGGATCGCGGGGTCACTGGTTCCCTTGTCCATTCTTCACTGTGCAAGAGTGGGGGACACCCTGGACAGGTCTCCAGTCCATCACAGGGACACATAGAAACAAACGAGACAACTGACCATTCACTCTCTCACTCACACCTAGGGACAATTTAGAGTTACCAATCAGCCTAACATGCATCTTTTTGGTCTGTGGGAGGAAACTGGAGTACCCGGAGAAAACCCATGCATGCACGGAGAGAACATACAAACTCCACCCAGAAAGGTCCCGGACCGGGATTTGAACCAGGGACTTGCTCACTGAGAGGCATCAGCTCTACCAGTTGTGCCACCGTGCTGCCCAAGATATATTCCAATGTACTATTTTATTTTTATTTAACCTTTATTTATAAAGGTAGTCTCATTGAACCACGAGAACTCATTTTCAAGAGAGATCTGTTTTGGCAGAAGATGGTGAGGGTTAAGGGCCTTGCTCAAGGGTGCAGAGTGGGGCAAATTAAGGTGGAGGCAGGTGTGGGCATTTCACCTTTTCCACCACATTTTGATGTTGTCTATCCAGGAAGTCGAACCAGCAACCTACCAATCACAGGCCCACCTTCCCTATCCTCTGTGCCACCACTCCCTCCTACTACGACATAATCTTTGGTGAAATTACTTCCTCATGGAGTCAACCCACCACCCAACTGAAATAGAAAAAGAAATGCATGTTGATGATCTGTCCCTAGTTTAGACATTTTAAAAATGGTCTATTATTTGAAAATCAATTTCTGCTGCTGGGTCAATGGACTGGCTCAGCAGGTGCTTATGGGTTAAGTTCACATCCAGTAGTTTTAAATGTTTATTGTAAATTATCTACTTTAAGGTTTTGTAGAATTGTTTTTGCAATCGGTCTCATGTACAGTAGTATAATATATTTATTCAAGCACACGTCTGGGTGTTTTTTTATAGTGTTTATTGTTTTTTTTTTAATGAAACAAAATCAACTCTTCCAATGTGTTTTGAAGTGTGAAATGTCTTTTTTTTTTCTCCATGTATTCTCACAGCACAATCAGTAAATGTTGATCTGAAAGAAAACATCTTTGAACTTGGCACTTAGAAAACAACCACAAAGAAGTGTCACCTTTATTCATTTAGAACAAAATTTACAAAGCCATTTGAACAGTCATTTTTATCAATAATTTTATGTTTTTTAAACTCAACTGTTGAATATTCAAAATACACTTTAATGTTGTTTCTTTCTTTGTACTTACAAATATGTACATTAAAGTGTCAGCGTCTCGTCACGTGTCGTCTCGTTGACGCGATCACAGGTAATAAAAGTTAGATTTTTATTGTTTATTTATATCTCCTCGTACTGTAGGCACTCCGTTTAGTTCTGCACTCTTGTGTTTGAGCTTGAGTGTTTGAAAGTTCATCATGCTCAAATGGATGTCCCGTGGCTAGGCTCATTGGCTTCTGGGATGGGTCCTCCTGGCGCTGGTTGGTAGGACAATGGCATGGGCGTCTTGACTGGGCTCTGCCTGAAGAGCCCCCCATTGGGCGCCCTGTGTTTGCACCGGATGGAGGGCATGGTGGCACTGCTGAGGGGCAGGGGCAAGGTCCTGCCAGACACTGCTCCCAGTGTTCTGCCTACCCCATGACTCTCGTGAAGGAAGCTGGTCACAGACAGTGGCGGAGGCCCCCGGTGTGGTGGGTAGTCTCGAACAGACAAAGCCTCCAGAGACTGGCTGGGCTGCATTCTACCAATATCCAGGGCGGAGATCTCGATGGACTGGCCCGGCAGCTGCTTATGGGCTAAGTCCTCGTCTAGTAGGCTGTTCAAACGCTGGTGGACCTGTTCCAAGTTTACCTCTTTGTCCTGAAAGATAAATAGATGGGGTGGAAGGCAGTGCCAAAGAGTGCATGGAATAAAAGGAGCCAGTAGGGAGAAGAGAGTTTAATGGAGGGGAAAGATCATGGATGTAATTGAGGAAGAGGGTTATAAAGAATAACGGTGAAAATGAATGCCCAGTGAAATAGGTTAAAATAGGTAATGGGATGAGGATACAGAATGAAAGAAAATGAAGAGACACTGGTTATAATAGTTCTCATTATTAACAATGCTGTTTATGTTCAGTCTTTTCTGTCATCACATCAAAAACATCTAATTTTCATGTAATTTTGAAACATTGAAATACTGTGAACTTTTCCTGCTTCATTTATTAAAACGCTGCCAACATTTAGACATAAAACAGTACTTCTCATTCAGTTATACCAGATATAATATCTCTCTTTTGAAATTAATTTGAATGACGTAATTTCAAGAATTAGTGTTAACATTTTCTGCACAACTTGGTGACCACATATCTGCAGGAGGCGACACTTCTGGAACGAGACTGACTAATATAGCGTGCAAATGTGAAATTTTTTTTTTTTTTATTAAACCTTTTGATGAAGTTGTTAGTTGATATTAGTTATAAAACTTAAATTTATTATTCTAAATGATGTTTAACTAAATCAGAAGGTTATTAATCAACTCTATTTTTAAGTATTTTGCTTCCAAGGATAGGCGTTTTTTTTGGTAATCTTTTTAACATTTGGTACTTTTTAGGATTTTCCAGGTTTTTGAACTTTGAGTTTAATTTTACTACCTTTTTGTCTATTTTCTGTACCATCTACAGTAAATAAACATGAACATTGTGTTTGTAAGATCAAGGGGAAAAAGTTCCAGCAAAGTCCTGACCTGAGAAATGCACCATTGCTCAACTGGTCAACTGTCATGTTTTACACCAACAGCTTCTTGTTGCTACTAAATTACGTATTTGTCTGTCAAATTGCAAAATAACAGGGATAAAGAAATCACATTTTTTTAGCAGGCTGTTAGTGAAGAACAATTTTGAAAATGGCTTTTAAGGAACTTTGTTGCTAACAAAAATATTCATCTGAAAATGATCAGGTACTGGATTAAAAAAAGGAAAGCTTTGAAAACTGTCAACCCACCCCCAAATAAATTATTATTTTTTTTTTTTTAAAGACTGAAACTCCAACTCCTTGAAAGCAAAATATCAAAATAAGAGATAAGACTTCTGCGCACATTTGTAGAAATAATCATAAGCCAAATAAATAATGACATCATATGTGCATGTATATTTACGAGCAAATGTTATCATGCTTGATTTGGGCGTTACACTGAATGTTATTTCCTTTTTTGTCTTTATTGCACCCATTTAAAAAAAAACAAGACATAAAGTCAGGACAGACACAGGGATGAGATGATGGATGATGTGACAACAATCTACCCCTAACCTTTATTTTCCATTTGCTTCCTGGTGTGCAATTCAATATATATATTTCCCATAATGTCAAATTAACAGTTAAGTGTTAGCAGTTGATTTTCTTTAGAATGTCAAAATGCCTTCATATGCTATGTTTGTCTGCTGTGTTGGTGTTAAAATATATAAACTGAAATTCAAATCAAATAGTTTGAATGTATTTCACTCATTCTCTGTGGGCTTGAAAAGAAGCTGTAAAACTGCTGAACCATATGGACTGTTTTTGTGTGTGTGTGTGTGTTAAACAAATAGTTTGGATTGTGATTTATTAAAATGATCATTTTTGTTTTGTCTGTATAGTATAAAAAAAAACAGGGCCATGATTTATTTAGTCAAAAATCTAATGTGCTCTTATTCACAACTCAGAACTGTTATAATGAAGTGAAAAACACTAAACTGAGGGAGAAACACACATTTGAGGACAAGTCAACAAACTGACAACTCAGTATTTTATGCATGACCAAATCAATAAATGATCTGTTACTGACTTGAAAGACATTATTACCTCAGCCTTTAATTTTTATTCTAATTGAATCCATAAAGAGGCTGTAGAAGAAAAAACAAAAAACGCTGCTCTACACATTTCCAATTGGCTCCACGATCATTTGAATTTTGACTAAATTAAAGTTGGAATATTCTACAAATGCAAATATCTAGAATAAATGTTTCCATCATTGTTGCCATACGGTAGGATAATGAGTAGAAAGTTTGATACCTCCTTAGTTTACAATTAATATAGTTTTAATGGCTTTATGCATCATATTAATGTTATTTAGTGTGATGTGTGTTGTAAATATTAAAATTTTAACATGGACTTGCCATGATCTAAACACTTATGAGAATTACTTTCTTGTTGAAAAAGCCCAATAACATCAACTCATTCTTTTGGACTACAGCTGGAAACATCAGGCGATGATGGTATTGAAACCTACTCGAGAACCACACAAGCTTTTCTCTCTGAAAAGCAAATTTTGACATATGAAAGTGATAAAATGTTGATATTGGTGCAATAATAAGTGTTTCACTATCGATCACAACCTGAAGTTACAACTGGATGTGTGATTGCATGGGGATTGCCAAGGCTTGCAATCATTTTGCTGAGAATCAAAAACTGAAGTATTAAAAAAAGGTGCTCTTGATTTCAGCCTGAACGGCTTTTTATTATAAAGTTCAGCATACCTCAGCACTTTGATAACATTTTGTTTTGCACTCTGCCTAGACTCACTTCTCAAGCCCACACAGCATGGTGTAAAATCCAAAAAATGGACAGAAATGCCACAAAACACCCAATATTAATTAAAATGTGTTCAGAAGATTTTGCACGATGACATTTGTGAATCATGACTCTTTTTATGATATAAGCCTAACCAAAACACTTAAAAGTTAACAGCAGAAACTACTTTCTGCACCAAAATCCAACAGTTGGATTTCTTGTGTTTTCAGGACAGGACTGGACTTTAAATGGGTGCTTTCGTTCATTGTCAATTTGAACAGGCAGGTCAAGGCTCACACTTTAGTTTAGGGATCCATGTCAAGCCTTAGTTTTGTTGGACGCCTCATGCAAAAGGGCTGCCCAGTTACGAGCAGCGAGACCAAGGCAAAGATTTGAAGCATAAGACTTGAATGGATTAGCTAAAGAGAGCTATTGCACGACTAAAGCTCTGTTCAGCTCAGAAATACAACTTACAAATGTGGGTTAAAAATTAGAAGTAAGTGATTACTTTTATTTTTTTCTGTCCCCGCCCCAATGAGCACCAGCGAGTGATTTTATAATTTTTTATGTCACCATAAGAGTAGGCCTGTCACGATAAACAATAAATCAATTAATGGCATGTTGAATGAAAATTATCAACCTGATTTTCATTTACTGGCTTTATCGTTCCTTTGTGTGTCTCTTTCTACTGAAGACACAGCTCAACTCCAGTGTTCTTCACTGACCCCTCCCTTTCTCTTTAAAATCTGTTTTAACAATCCAAAATCGCGTTTTTGGATTGTTAAAAGCAGCTAAGCTGAGAAGCTAAGCTACAAGCTAAGCTAAGAGGCCGAGCTCAAGAATAAACCTCTGTCTTGTCGAACTCCAAAATTCATGGTTGAAACCCGTGCCTTTGTGCAAAAAGTTGTTTTTCTCTGCAAAATGAAGCTGAGAATTTTACTGTTTTTATTTATTTTTATTAAAAGCTTTGTGTGAATAATGCTATGCTAAAGAGTAGGGTTGGGGCCTATCCGATCCAGTATCGGTATCGGCCTCCGATACCAGCATCATTTGCGTATCTGATTTTTCCAATCCAACCTGCCGATATTTCCGATCCATGATGCACGTTGGCTTCAAACTATGGAATGGATTTCCTGAACGGAGGCATGTTTCATGAACCCAGAGTAATAAGACCTGCCTCATATTCAGGAAATCCATTTCATAGTTTGCAGCCAGCTACAACGTGTGAGGGCTGAGTTAGCATCACTGTGGCTAACAGCTAACTAATTTTTCATCTAAACATGTCTGCTTTGTGGAAGTATTTTACACTCGAAACACCACAAAACAAGACGGCAACGTGCAATGTCTGCAGAGCCATAGCACCTAATTAAACTGTGGTAAAGTTAGTTTTACGTTGGACATTCAAGCTCCGTGGCTTCACCGGGACGCTACTCTTTGCTCAACCCGAAACAGGCGACTCGACCCCGGCCAGCCGCGTCCAATCTGCCATGCTAAATCTGCCTGTCTCCGAGGAGGGGCAGACTGAGCGCGGCTGACCGAAATCAGGCTACCTGCTTCGGATTGAAAAAGAAGAAGACATTGCTGAAGCCCCGGAGCTTGAATGTTTACCGAGAAGTTGCTAAACTTATTAAAAAATACATAAAATAACTTTAAACAATCACTTAAATTAATCACTTTAATATCCTCTTTAAAGCTAGGAATAAAAAGAAACATGTTTTGTGTTAGCAGAATTTAATTCTAACTTTAAAACTTATCCAACATTAATAAAACTTAGCTCAAGTTGCCTTTTTGGACATACATGCATATATTTGTACAAATTGTACTTGAGAGGAGATTATTACAGCCTCATATAAAATCAATGATCATGATATTGAACTGGATCGGTATCGGCCGATATACAGATTTAGGTATCGAGATCGGATTGGAAGTTTAAAAAAGTGGATCGTGTATCCCTACTAAAGAGCTTAAATCACCGAGCGTCCGCCATGTCACCATGTCAGCCCATGTCATGTCAAGGGACCTCCCTCCTCTTTTTCTTAAAGAGACACACTGCTAAACTATCCATCCTTTGGTTCAAACAGTCTTATACTGCCATCTGGTGGTCAAAAAATGTACTGCATTCCAAACAAATAAACATTTCTTCTAAAATTTGACAATCAATTATTATTAAATTTCAAACAATATTATCGTTTATCGCAATACTTTCTGAGACAACCACCCAGCAAAAATTGTTATAATGACAGGCCTACATAAGAGATGCCTCAGAATCCCTCATTATGCCCCCCCCCCCCCCCCTCCCCCACTTTTCTCTCCCAACATGAGAAGGAATGAGTAAACTGATCACGTAATGTCTGAACTATCACCAGGAGCACACCTATAACTGGGTGTACTGCAGCTCTACTAAATCAGGACTGGCATCAGCGCCTGCTGGATCCATAAAGTAGAGTGTGGCAGTGGCATCTCTGGGCAGGACCGGGGGGCCCGGGGGTCTGGGTCTCGATCGGGGCCTTGGTGGGGCAGGGATACCCGTGGTGGCCACCATGACCCGGTTCTGGGTTAGAAGGCCTGGGCCGTGGGTCGACGAGTTGTCGGTGGTCACCTCTTTGGGCTGCTCTCTCCGGCAGTGGTTGCTGTTCCACCATGTCTCCAGCGCCGCCACCAGGAGGGCCAGCAGCAGACCAGCAGCGAGGATGCAGAAAACGCCGGCAAAGCTGTGGAGACGCAGCGCCCGTCCCTCCGGCTGAGCGTCTGTGTGGCTCTGCAGGTCACAGCGGCCTTTCTTTGGCCACCATTTTTGCTTCAAGATGTCAAGATCACCTTTTTCCTGGAGCTCCAAAATCCTGTGGAGAAAAAAAAGAAATGGGTTATTCTTTTACATAGGTGTGCAGTTTTGTTTAACACAACAAAACACCATCCAGTATCCATCATCGAGTAGAAATACTCACTGATCAAATTACAGCTACAGCTGAGCACATAACCGTAAATTAAACAATTTTCAGAGACAAACAAAACAGAAATACAGAAAATAAATCTCTAAATGATCAGAACAATTACCACACTGTTATCATGGAGCAATAATTAAATAACACATCTCATTACATGAATCTAATAAAGAGAGAAACCCCTCCACTACAAATGTAATCTATTAGCATTGACTGTAGGATCATTAAAGAGACCCATAGAGGGTAAAGTGCTATTAAACACTGCAGATTTTAGTTTACAGCAGTACAGTGCAAGACACAGTGATTGATTGTAAACAAGACCTCAAAGACCCGCTATTGAAAAAAAAAAAGAACAAGACAAAGAGAAACAATTCCAGCCTGAAGAGTAATGAATTTCAAACTTTAAAGACTGCAACAAAATCATCAAACACTGCAGCCAGCCTGTTGGAGAACAGAAAAGGATGAAAAGATGTTGTGGAGGAGAGTGATGTCAGAGTGCAAACACATGTTCTACAGTCCCCGTGTTCCTCTGGAATAGCTAAGTGGAGCAGTCAGTCACTTTTCAGAGCTGATTATTACATACACCACCACTTCTGCTGCAGACTCGTTCAGATTAAAAAAGCCCAATCAGAAATACTTCACAGCTACCTGAGTCATTTGAAATGTGTATACAAACTACCACAAGTCCCGTTCTTTATACAAAGTGCTATGTTGAAGTACATATTGTGCCATGAGACTATTGGTCAGACCAGGTGTACAGCACACCCATTTTTAAAACCAATATAAAGGATATTTCAGATCTTTTGAGATGGAGGTCTGTGGACAAGTTATACCTGTTGTAGATAGCTTTTTAATGGCCTCAGTTTGGAAGAACAGTTCAGTTTGGACCAAAATGACAAACTAAAAAGCTGACATTTTAAAACTCCCATCTAAAATAATTAATATGTATTAATACATATACTACTTTACAAATATCTGCATTGCTGTCAGTTTTGCATTACAGTAGTCCCTCGTTTATTGCTGGGGATCCGTAACCTGAAGCCCAGCGATAAGTGAAAAACTGCCAAGTAGTTATAGTAGTACAAGTAATAAATAGTAGTTTATTTCAGTATTTATATAGTTAGTGTGATAGACAAAATCGGAAGAGCGTCACTCACACTA